AGCCAACGTGGACAGGCTCGGGGAGATGGGTTTTTATCAGTTATTTGATTGGCAAACCCCTCGATCAATGGCTCTAGGACAGTTCGCTATGGTGCAAGAGAAACATGAACAAGGGTATCGTTTGATTGCTTTGGCGTTTAGTATTTGAATTTGGGAGAAGCTATTTGATTCTTCAAAACTCAAGGTAGTGAACTAAAAAGAAAAAAAAGGGGTGTTTTGTCTTTTGGTTGCTTCCAATCGGTGGAAGTAGGCAACGACAATTCTATAAAATTTTGGATGGATTGTTGGGTCGACCATACTCCTCTTTTTGTTAGTATCGATCTTGGCTGCAACGAGGATGATCCTATCTTGGTGAGTGAATTCATTGATAAAGAGAGAGGTGTTTGGAGAGAGGACAAAATTCAGAGCTTGGTTCCCTTAAACACTTAGGAATAAAATTAAATCCATCTTTATCCCGTCAGATCAAATGGAGGATAAAATGATTTTGAGCCTAAATCCGAGTGGTGCCTTTCCCTTGAAATCAACTTATAAATTGAAATGTACTGAGTCTTGTAATAGAGAAAACTTAGTTAATTAGAAGGGTTTAGTTTGGAGTTTATTGTGTCCCTTGAAACTAAAAGTATTTCTGTTTCTCCTCTTAAATTACAGGCTTCCTTTGAAGTATCTGCTTAGGAGAAGAGGAATGAACATCGATGGGGCATGCTGTAGGTGTGGAGAAGTGGAGGACATCAACCACATTTTTAGAGGATGTATTTTCTCTGTCCAAGTTTGGAGGATTACTGACCCAAACTTATTCATTTTAACTGATTCGAATGTTGGACTTATGGAATGGTGGAAAGTGTCTTTATTCTTTGGCACATTTGGAAGTGTAGGAACAAGAAAATTTTGAATAATGAGGATTCCTCTCCCCTGTTAATTGTAGAGAGAGCTAATAAAGATCTTATGGAATTTAATGATTTCACTGTTTCCCCTTCTTGCTCTAATAGAGTCAGATTGTGGAATTATGCTGCCTGGACTCCGCCTAACCAGGGTCCAGGGATCTGTAAAAATCAATTTCGATGCTTCTCATTCAAGTGATGGGACCTGTTCAGTAGTTGCTATTGCAAGGGGCTGCTCTGGTAAGATCATTGACTACAAGGGTTACATATTAGGCAACTCAACCATTAATGCAGTTGAGGCTTGGGCAGCGTGGGAGGCTCACAATTTGGCGTGCAACTTCAGAGATCCTGAGATTATAATCTGTACCAGATTGTCTGATGTGCAAGGATAAGTTTAGTAGAGGATTAAGGTATAAGCATGTTTATAGGGAAGCCAATCTGGCCGCTGATTGGGTTGCTAATTTGGCTATTCCGTTGAATTCTAATTCAATTTTCCTTGGCTGTAAGTCTCTTTTTTGGGACTTAGCATGTGTTTTGTTTTGTGAACGTTTTGTGATAGGCATTTATCAAAATGCTATTATGTCATTGATAAATCAGTATTTTTCTCATAATGTTCATTTATACGTATTGATATTCACAAAAGTGGGTTTTGATTTATGTGTGCACCAACCGTTGGGGGAAGCTTCATTTTTTAACGCTTTCCCAACAGTTGATCGTTTATTCTCTCAACCATTGATGTGGCGTCTAATTGTCAATAAATGGTTTATCAAGTAATTTTCTCGGTTTTGAAGACAAATCAAATACAAACATTTATTTAATAAATGGATGCTATACCAAACACATACCTAGAGTTTATCTGCTTATGTGACTTATAATGCTTGTGTAGCACTTTCCTCTTTATAAAAAAAAAGTATAAACCATAAATATTGAAGTAGTGTCATCTATATATATAACTTAAAAGCAAATTGTTGTATGGCCAGCATTTCTCAAATAGAATCTTTATTTATACAACCTAAACGAAATCTTATAATAAAATATTTCCTTTTCATGACTTTAACCATTACCATTACAAATTAATTAATTACAATGCTGCCATTGAATAAAACAAAAGAAATCATAACTTGTTCTTTCTCATTTTCCTCTTTCATATTTGATACTAAACATGTAATTATTTACAATGGTGCCACTACTAACTATTTACAATGATGCCACTAAATTTCTACCTTTTTCATATTTGCTAAAAATTATCTTTATCTCTCATTTAATTTACAATTGGGCCATTCTGTGTAGGTTGTGCTTCCCTCCCCTGTGATATTTTAGGAGGTTGGCTTGGCACACCTCTCGGCCCAAGCTCGCGTACGCCTGTTTTGTACTGTGGGTCGAGCTGGTCTATGGGCCAAGTCTTAGGCCAGGCCGGACCATGACCCAGGCTAATCCATGTTTTTGAAAAATTTTGAAAAAATAAAATGAAAAAGTTAACATAAATTAAAAAAATAGATAAAAAAATTAAAAAAGTTCTTAAAATTTTGTTTTATATGAATTTTGATGTATATAATTATTTATATATGCAATAATAAAATGAAATAATATAATAAAATTGAAAATACAATTATATATTAGATAATTATTGTTTATAATATACGGCCTTAGCCTGTGTGGGCCCGTTCCATGCCGCAGGCCAAGTCTTAGGCCAGGCTGGGCCACGAATCGGGCTAGGCCATGTTTTTTAAAAGTTTTGAAAAAAATAATGAAAAAATTAACATGAATTAAAAAAAGATCTTAAAATTTTATTTTAGCTGAAGCCTACACGGGCCCATGCCATGCCTCGGGTCGGGCTGGTTTGTGGGCCAAGTCTCAGGCCAGGCTGGGCCACAAATCGGGCTAAGCTTGTTCATGGGCTCGGTAGCCCAATAGTTCAGCCCAACCCATTAACAATGCTAAATTAATTAATTAAATATTTTTAGATAGCCTTTACCAATCTTGTGTTGATAATACATAAAGTTTTATTTATTTATTTACTTATTTTACTAAATTATTTAATTAGTTAATGATTTAATAATCTAACAAATTATTATTGCTAGCAAAGGAAGACATAAAATCATGTATATATTTATATATATTTACTCTCTCACTTGATTGTCTGTTTATCTCATTTATCTTACTAAATTTATTTATTTATTAAATTAAATTAATTGTTATTTAACTATTTACAATTATTCAACTATATAAAACAAAAATACAATTACAAAAGTCATTTCTCTCTCTTCCACTCTATTGCTTGATAGCCGTGATTATTATTCAACTATATAAAACAAAAATACATTTGTTTAACTATTTTTTTTAATTAAAAAATTTTACTTTCGCAAATTTTTTGCGCAAAAGGAGAACGCGCCACGCGTCCTCCACTTCGTGTGAACATTTGAAGCTTGCAAGAGAGTTTAATGCCGTTACAAACAAAACAAGTTTTCACTTCTTGCTCCTCTCCTCTCCTCTCGCACGTAGGTTCTCTTCTCTCTCTCTCTCTCTCTCTCTCCCCCCTTGCTTCCAATCGACGGTGACAATCAATCATTACCGACGGTGAACAATAACCATCACCGGCGACCGGGGTTAACCTCAGGTATTGACTTTTTTTCAAGTCTTCTCCTTTACATCTCTTCCATGAAAAAACTAACCCTAACCGATTTGGATGGCAACCATCATCACTGGTAATGGTTGTTGGTTGCCTGTATCCGGTGATGATGGCTACTATCCAAATTGGATAGGGTTAGGTTTTTCATGGAAGAGATGCAAAGCATGGTTTTTGAACCACCGTTGATGCATACGGTCAGACCGTTCGGCCCAAGAACTATCCAGGCAATTGGTTCCGTTTTACCCCAAACTCAGTCCTTGGCCAAAAACCATTGAATTGGTCAGCGACTCGTTGACTTGGGCGATCGAACCGTCGATCCGTTCAACAGTTTTTGGTCATTTTTTTTATTTTTTTTTTTAATTTTTGTTGTCAAAACGGGCCGTTTGTTCGAACTAGGTGGTCGAGCCGTCGACTCGGAAATCGGTGGCCAGAACGGTTCCTTTTCTGTGTCGTTTTTTAAAACCATGATGCAAAGGAGAAGACTTCAAAAAAAGTCAATACCTAAGGTTGACCCCAATCACTCTTGATGGTTATTGTTCACCACCGGTAATGCTTGTTTGTCACCACCAGTTGGAAGGGGGGAGAGAGAAAGAAGAGAACCTGCGAGTGAGCGAGAGGAGAGGAGAAGAGTGGGAAGCATGGCTTTTGAACCTCCGTTGACCCAAACGATCTGACCGTTCAGCCCGAGAACCATCTAGGCAACCGGTTTCTGCTTTACCCCAAACTCGGTCCCTGGTAAAAAATTGTTATCAGAACAAGTTGTCCATTCGAACTGGATGGTCGAACCATCAACCTAGAAACCTATGGCCAAAATGGTTCCGTTTCTGTGTCGCTTTTTAAAACCATGATGCAAAAGAGAAGACTTGGAAACAAGTCAATATCTAAGGTTGACCCTACCGCCGGTGATGGCTATTGTTCACCGTCAGTAATGATTGTTTGTCGCCGCCGGTTGGAAGGGGGGAGATAGAGAGAATAGAACTTGCGAGCGAGCGAGAGGAGAGGAGAGGAGTGGGAAGCATGGATTTCAAACCGCCGTTGACCCGAATGGTCGGATTGTTTGGCTCGGGAACCCTCAAGGCAACTGGTTCCGTTTTACCCCAAATGAGGTCCTTGACCAAAAACCGTTGAATTGATCAACCACTTGCTGACCCAGACGATCAAACCGTCGACCTGTTCAATAGTTTTTTGCCATTTTTTATTTTTAATTATTTTTTAATTTTTGTTGTTATAATGGGCGATCCGTTCAAACTGAATGGTCAAACCGTCGGCCCGAAAACCGGTGGTCATAACGGTTCCGTTTTCGGTCATTTTTTAGAAGTTAAAACGATGGCGGGAAGTGAAAACTCGTTTGTAACGGCGTTAAGTTATCCCGCACGCTACAAATGTTCACACGAAGTGGACCTTTTGCGCGAACGGTGCCCTGACTGAAGCCGACGACTTCGCAACGCAGGCCCCTCCGCTAGTAATTACGTATTAGATATCCTCTAATATTGGCATAAACGTGTGGACGTCTTTCCGGTTCATGGCACAGTCTGCCAAAAAAGCCTTCCTCTCCACCAATCTTGCAGGGTAGGAGTGCATACAATGACCCAATTTTATCGGATCTTTACTCTTTTTGCTTCTGAGGAGCGCTATTTACTTTGCCAGAAATGGCATTAACCATTAGAGCCCACCTCACTACGACACACCTCAACTTTAACTTCCAACCTACAACAAGAACCATCGTATACAGAAGAAGAAGCCAAAGCGTAAGAATTCAACCCAGACCCATCTACCATTCCAATCCGCTAGTACATTTTGTTTCTTTTCCTTCAATGCCTACTGTTTCTTCTTCCTCTGTGAATGGTTCTTCTGTTATTAAGAGCTCTCTGATCGACCCAGATGGTGGAGCCCTCGTTGATCTTGTTGTGCCGGAAAGCGAAAGGGCGTCGAAAAGGGCCGAAGCCGAGTTGATGCCCAAGGTGAAACTTACCAAGATTGATCTTGAATGGGTTCATGTTATTAGCGAGGGGTGGGCTAGTCCGCTAAGAGGCTTCATGAGGGAAGATGAGTACTTGGAGAGCTTGCATTTTAACTTTCTGCGGTTGAAGGATGGAACCATCGTCAACATGTCGCTTCCTATAGTCTTGGCAATTTATGACAAGGATAAGGAAGAAATCGGGTCTTCTCCTAATGTGGGTTTGATTGGACCGAACGGGGATTTGATTGGCATCCTTAGAAGGTTAGTTTTTATTTCTGTTCCCCTCTTGAGAATTTGTAAATTTGATACTCTTTTCTATATTGGCGTTTAGAACAGAGATGGGAAATTGGAATATGGCTTCTATGACTTTCGAAGACCATAGAAAAGCCTAAAAAGAGAAACTTGAGGATCGTTGTATACTTCAAGCTCATGGACGGCATTGGGGATGGAGTCAATTTTTGTTATTATAAGATTTCTGCTGAGTTTTTGATTCCTAAAGTGGTTTGAATTGCCTGAGAAATTTCCATTTCATTGTCTTGATGTTATGACATACATTTCATTTAATTGAGAGGAATTGAATTGGAATTTGATTCTCTTGTTAGCGGGACTACTAGTACTAGACTATAGATAGTGAAGTTGCTAACCTTTTCCAGTTTTTGAATACCCATCTTGTTTTGGAAAAGATTTCTACCTCATTCTTTGTAATGTAGAAAATGGCTTTGTCCACATAGAACTTATTTTGGTCCATGATTTTGTTTCTAGCCGGCAAATGAAGTCCACCTCCTCTCCTCTTCTGCCTTAGAGACCTTTCTTCTTAATTTACCATTTCAATTGCTTTCTCCAATACCAGAAGATATGCTTTACTTGAAAATTTGTGAGTGGATATAATGAGTTCCATATAGCTTGATAAGTTGATAGCATCCAATAAATCTATAAATATGCAGTTCCTAGTAACAATCATGTAATACATTTTTGAAGTTTTTTTTTGGTCCCTGTAATCTGTAATCAACCTTAAGCTGATCATAGAAAAAGAAAATAGGGAAAATAGGGTTTGACACTAAGAAAAAAGGGTTTGGTCCGTTTGGCACAATGAGAGATCTCCTAACTGCCACCCTCTTATATTAAGATTATAATGACAGATGAAATAAAAATGCTACCCTTACTTAAATATAAGAAAAGATAAATCTTCTACCATACTTCTAACTGATGTGGACGCCGGCAACAACAGCAGTAATTTAGTGCAGCAGCAGCAGTAATTTAGTGTTCTCAGCAGCAGCAAATTAGTGTTCTCATCCTATCTTATCTATTCAGTATTCTTACCTTATCTGCTTTCAGTAGTAGGGATTAGTAGGAGTCTTATCTATTCAGTGTTCTTATCTTATCAGTTCAGTAGCATGGATTAGTACGGAGTCTTATCTTATCTTATCAATAGGATAGATTAAGGGAGTCTTATCTTATCAGTTCAGTAGGATAGATTAATAGGGAGTCTTCCTAAAAGTAGGACTCTTATCTCTTGTAATCTCCTATTTAAGGAGCTGAGAATATTGAATAAAATCATCGAAAATTTCAGTCAAGAAAGAGAGCAAAGGAGAGTTGGTGATCTCTTGAACAAATCACCTTTGGGGTGGCGAGATAGGTTCTTCAAGAAAAGGGAGGAACAAGGGAAAACAGGAGGTTTTCCCCGTGGACCAACCCGTGACGAGATTCTATTCGCGGCACTGAATAGATAAGACTCCTACTAATCCCTGCTACTGAAAGCAGTAAGGTAAGAATACTGAATAGATAAGATAGGCTGAGAACACTAAATTGCTGCTGCTGAGAACACTAAATTACTGCTGCTGCTGCCGGCGTCCACATCACTAACACTCCCCCTCAAGCTGGAGCATAAATTTCATAGAGCTCCAGCTTGTTACAAACATAATCCATTCTTGTACGACTCAGCCCTTTAGTGAAGAGATGAGCTAACCGATCATCTGACCTTACAAAAAGGAGTGACTATGTCACCACTTGTAGCCTTCACTCTGACAAAGTGAAAATCTACTTCTATATGTTTGGTTCTTTCATGGAACATTGGATTGGATGCAATGTGAACAACAGCTTGGTTGTCACAAAACAACTTTATGGGTTTGGAGATGGTTACTCCAAGTTAATGAAGATGCTTCAGCCAGATTAAATCACAAGTGGTATGTGCCATTGCCCTATACTATGTTCTAGCATTACTTTTAGCAATTACACCCTACTACTTGCCCTTTTAGGTAATAAGTAGATTCCCACCTAGACATGTGCATTAGTTGGTGGTGGACTTCCTATCAATTGAGGATCCTGCCCGATCTGCATCTGAGTATCCTTCCAGTAATAATTGTCCACCTTTCTTATATAAAAAACCATGGCTTAAGGGCACCATTTAGGTAACACAGCACCCTTATAACACCTTCCCAATGATTAGGTGTGGAATTATGATTTTAGAAACCTAAAGAAAGTAGGGAAATAGGGAGAGATCTCCTAAGTGCCACCCTCTTATATTAACATTATAATAAAAGATGAAATTACAATGCTACCCTTACTTAAATATAAGAAAAGATAAAATATGCTGCCATACTTCTAACAGTCCCAAAACCATCAGTTTGGTACACTTTATAATCTGCATCCTGGAGAAAGGTTATGCTAGAACAAAATTTTATCTATTATCCGAATTCAAGACTTATACATAATTTCTAATGTGTTTTTTGTGACATCCCTTTCCTTCTCTTCCCTTGATTTTCTTTATTCTTTTTTTAACATTGAATTCATTTTTGTATAGTATTCAAATTTACAAGCACAATAAAGAAGAACGGATTGCTAGAACATGGGGTACAACTGCACCGGGATTACCTTATGTTGAAGAGGTGATTAGTCCAGCTGGAAATTGGCTCATTGGAGGGGATCTGGAAGTATTGGAACCTATTAAATATAACGATTGTCTTGATCACTACAGGCTCTCACCCCGTGAACTCCGGAAAGAGTTTGATAGGCGTCAGGCTGATGCTGTATTTGCTTTTCAGCTAAGGAATCCTGTGCATAATGGACATGCATTATTGATGAATGATACACGCCGACGACTTTTGGAAATGGGTTATAAGAATCCAATTTTGTTGCTTCATCCTTTAGGTGGCTTTACGAAGGCAGATGATGTTCCCTTAGATGTTCGGATGGAACAACATAGCAAGGTTGTTAACCAATTTTTTGTTTTCTATCATAAATAGTTTGACGCTGTTTTCTTTGGAGAGTAAGAAAGGTTTAGAACCTATAATATCTACAATTGTCTAGGTGTTCGTCCAATAAAAGAGAGAGTGTCTTGGTAGGAAAATACAGTCATCCATGGATGCTCATATACATTGTTACAAAAGGTTTGCAAACAATTGAAAAGGAACACTACTTCTCTGGTAAAAGAGGATAGAATCTTAAAATCATTTGCCATCTCATTTCTTTCAACAGGCACATAAGGTTTCTTGTTGGTGCTTCATCCACTTTTTATATGGTCAAAAGAACCATAGTTATCACAAGGAAATCAATGGCTTTCCTTATCAGTTAGGAGCTTGCAAATTTATATGCTGCCATACAATTTGTGACATTGCCTTAAAAGTTTTTGATCCTTTTCAGGTTCTAGAAGATGGTGTTCTTGATCCTGAGACTACTATTGTTTCTATTTTCCCATCACCCATGCATTATGCTGGTCCAACTGAAGTCCAATGGCATGCCAAGGCGCGTATAAATGCAGGTGCTAATTTCTATATTGTTGGTCGGGATCCTGCCGGTATGGGTCATCCAACGGAAAAGAGGGATTTGTATGATCCTGATCATGGGAAAAAGGTGTTGAGCATGGCTCCTGGCTTGGAAAAGCTAAATATTTTGCCATTCAGGGTATGCCTTCAATAACACGTTGTTTTTGCAACCATTGAAGCTCTGTTTTTTTTACATATTTTTATTAAATACAACTTTTGTGGATGGTTAGTGTAAAGAACTTGCAATGCTTCCTTGATAATGATCTTTAAAATTGCTGGAGATATCCTATTTTTTGACAGTTTAAACAGTGCTTTGTATATGCATGTGACTACTGAAACTTGTGAAATTACTTTTTGGGAAGTTTATTTTGTTTGTCCTTAGATTTTCAATAATCTTCCTCATATTTGAACAATTCAAGATAGAGCTTTATGAATGAACTAATACCTTGAGTATGACCATTGTAATGTTTATTAGGCTTCCAAAACCACATTAACAGAATGCTTGCATAGTAAGGTTCCTGTAGTTACTGCTGCTTATATACAAGGGAATATCTATAATTTCGGAAAGGTATGATTCCAGAATAACTTTGACCAATCAACTCCCTCTCTCGGTAGATGAATTTTGATGAATACCAGTTGATTGGTTATAAGTTTTTCTGGTATCATGTCTTTTTGGCATCATAGTCAACCCTTATACAAGAGTATCTTTTCTTCTTCTATATGCTATTGTTTTTTTATCAGCTAGACTTTTTTTTTTCCCCATTTCAATTGTTATGTAATATCAAATCTACTCTATACAAGTTACCGGTTGGTCAGTGTTCATAGAATATCTAGAATGGACTAACTTGCCATGATTGTAATAAAGCTTTCAGTTCACATGCATCTTTTGGGGGGAATACAAAGATCCTCATAGTTCTCTTGATACCAAGCCATGCTAGATCAAGCAAATAAATACTTTTAGGAAAACATTCTTGATGACAATTCAAGATCCATGTTGGATTAGGCAAAAGTTTTAACCCTCATTTATTTGGTCTTGGGACTAGTAGCATAAGACAAGCTCACATTGGTGGAGTTTTTTTGTCCTAGTAATGGATGGGACCTTAAATCATGTATCACTATATGAGATCGGTTACATCAAACCTTTCCCACCATTTAACTCTGTTCAGTGACATATCCATCATAAAGTTATGGGCCCTCAAATAATTTCTCACTACTTCAACTCATGCCCTTTTTGGTCTATCTCCAACTCTTCTAGACCTTTCAACTTGTGACATATCACTTCTTTTAACTTAGATGGTCTCCTTTGCATGTGACCGAACCATCTTAGTCCATTTCCCCTCATTTATCGCCTATTGGAGCTGCTCCTATGTTCCTTTGAATAAGTTAATTTCTGATCCTATCCTTTCTGGCGTTCTTTCTCATTCATCTCAATATTCACATTTTTGCTATACTTTATTTTTGGTCATGCTATTTCTTCACTGTCTAATAACACTTGGTTCTATGCAACATGTTGATCTTATTACTGTTTTATAAAACTATTGTTTTAGATTAGATGAATGTCATGTTTATGGCTTTTGAACAAGAGACTTGTGCTGGAAAATTTTCTTTAGTTTTCCAGCTAACAATTATACCTTTTAATTTTTTAATGTCCTATTATTTTCCAGGTGGCAGCATATGACACATTGGAAAAGAAGATGGCATTCTTTGACCCTTCACGGGCTAAAGATTTTCTCTTCATATCTGGGACTAAGGTATGCACATGTGTTTTTGTTCTCTTTGATAGAAATAGCTTATTTCAGGAAAAATATGAAAAACAAGTTAAGTCTTTGATTTTGAGAATGTTTAGATTTCTTCTACACACTGCCAAAACCCTATTTATTTGTCTAAAATATGAAATCTGTGTCCCTTCCCTTAGAGTCTACCTTTATTAGAGGTGTCACTATGTTATGCAAGCACTTGTTTTTATTTTCCCTCTCCTAGGGTGGGAGACGGGATTGGGTGTAGAACAATTTTATCATTCCACTTGGAATCTTGTGCATGAGCTAACCAATTCAAAATGTCCTAGCAATTTTCTTAGCGTTTTAATGCTTAAGTCAAGAAAACAGTATCACAAAGAGAAGGCAAAGTTCATAGGAAAAAAAAAAATGGTTAAGGTCATCTTTTTGGGTGAATTCTTAGTGTACTGTGTAGTAGTAGTTTAGGAGACCTAGGTGGGAACTGTGAATTGCTTCCCCTGCATGAACTCTCATGAATGATTATGCTGTTAGGGAGATTATAGGCACTGTGTGCAGCCTCCCCTGCTGTTAGGGAGATTATTTATGACTATTCTGTCAAGGAGCTTAATTTTCCTCTTTAGAATGTTTCAACTGTAGCACATACTGTGCATTTAGATTGGACCTGTCTGCTCTACAGGGTTGCTTTTGTTTCTCTCATTTTACTTTACCAGGATGGAAATTTAGGAAACTTAAATTTTTCCATTTTATATTGGGAAATAACTGAAAGTACCTTTTACAAATCGACCATGTTGTTTCTATTCTTGGTCTGGAATGGTATGAGGATCCTAAATTTAATTGGGTATCTTTTTGGCCCCTAAAGGCTAAGACAGAAAACAGTACTTTTTACACAAGAAAATTTCTTAAAGAATTTTATAGTAGCCATTTGTTTCAATCAAGGTTATGAAATCGTCTTACTCTTATTCTGTAAAACTTTTTGAATCTTAGCTAGTGGGTTTACTTTTCTGTTGTAGATGCGGACTTATGCAAGAAATGGAGAGAACCCACCTGATGGGTTTATGTGCCCCGGGGGATGGCAAGTCCTAGTGAAATATTATGAGAGTTTGCAAGTTGAAGAGACTGGCCAACAACCAGCTCTATTGTCTTCTTAGATATACATTTGAAACCAGAGTTTCTGGAATCGGGTTGAGGGGGAGCAGAGGGAACGAGTATGAAATTACTCTAGGGTCTATAATAGAGCATCAATATATTTCATTATTATCATCTGATCTATTCAAATTGAGCAAAAATAAGTGTACTAATATGCTTCTTTGCTTTGTCTCTTGAGTATTGAATTTTGACGTGGGATTTAGTATTTTGCCATTTGTATGATTTATTTATGTGTTAATGCATATTGCAAAAGATAGGGAAACCTATACAAGGTTTGTAAAGGTTTCCATACATTTTCCTTCCTTTCCCTAGTTTTTCCTTCAAACCAAACACAACCTAAAGTGATCATTCAGGTCATATGTTTGAAAAATGAAATCATACATATTGGGAAATATCCCCCCTAATGAGCTCAAGACCTGAAGAAACTGCTAGTGTGTGTGTTTGTGTGTCTGAGAGAGAGAGAGAGAAACCAAAGAAGCATGGCCACTAGTGGTAGTAGTCCTTTTGTATCTTTTTGTTTGCTAAGAAACCAATTGTTGAACTAGCTGTGGGTTTTGTGCAGGTCATAAAAGTTAAATCCAGATACCATATATTATATATGGTTAAAACTTGATTGCACACATGCATATCACATGCTATATAAGTAAAAAAGGTTTGAAATTTAAAGAATTAATGTAGATTACATTTACTTTATATGTCCTAACATAGTTTATTTGCATCTTATATAAAAATAAGCATTTTTTATAACCCCAAACTATACTCTAGATAGAGGGCCGTCACTATTAAAGTTCATTAAAATTGAATGATACAGGGTTGGATATTGCCTGCCTTGCTCCAAAGCCCGAGCATACAAAGCTCTCTCTCAGCATCTCAAACCCACCCAAGAAAAAGCAAAACATTACATAAGCCAGAAAAAAAAAGACGGATTACAGACAGAAAACCAAACACTTTTAAGACATGTAAACCGAAATTATCTTCAAATAAGGTCAGATCTCTTAGGAATTTGATAATTTCTTTCATAGGCTAATTGGGAACTCCTATCTAGGGGTGCAACTTGGGCGCCAATCTTAGTCCGAACTGACCCAGCTCGAAATTTTACACGGGCCGGGCTTGAATTTTCGGTCATTGGGTTGGTCTTGGGCCTTAAGCCCAAATTTTAGGGTCGGGCCCAGGTTGACCATAAACCCGTCCCACCCGCCTGACTTGCACCCCTACTCTTGTCATCAATACCTTTAGGCAATAAATTTATTGACAAAAAATGAGGGCAAATAGGATAATTGGTTATTGATATTAAATGAGTTGAAAAGAGGTAATTTTAAGATATTCAATGCATTCAATTATCTCTTATTAAATCCAACATTTAAGGTATTAATTTGTATTCACCTTCATTGAGTCATATATTTAAGGCTTTTTTTGTTTTTTTCTCATCATTAAATTCTATAGTTAAATCCATACATAATAAATTAATAATTTCAATAACATAAAAACTTATACTTTTAATATCTACCTGGAAAAAAAAATAGTGTTTTCATCTAGGTGGTGGTAAGAAATTAAACTATTTTGGTCAAATGGGTCAATCCATGTTGTTACAATTAAATAATAAAATTTAAAAATATATAAAATGCAAAATATAAAAACTAAAAAAATGGAAATGTTTTTAACATCATATATTTGGCATATTAAACAATAATCAATATGATAGACAATGTTTTGAAAATTGACTCAAAGGCTGACCCGCTTTTGCCTTCGGGTCATTGATTTGATAATCAAGGTCAAACGAGTCAAATCGCTCTACGTCAACACTATGTGTATGTAAAAATACATATTTTATCAATAAATAGTATAATTATGTTTTACATATATTGTATAAATATGTTTTACGACATATAATATATGTATTATGTTACATTTATTTATGTTTTTTAATTCAGATTTTAATTTTTTATTTATGAAAATATTAAAATTTCAATTTGGGGCCAAAAAAGGGTTTTTTTCGTAAAAAGAGCAAGGTAAAACACCTAAGGCCCTTGGGACATATAGATCTTGAAAAGTTATCAAAATAAAAAAAGTAACCCCAATCAAACATCGGAGTGCAAAGTTATGGTTTCTAAAAGTTTGCACATAATTAAGTATGCAACCTATAACTTAGTTATTGGGTCGAATGGGGCAATGGTTGAACCACTCGGGTTAGATGGTTTTTAACTAAAAGGGGGAGTTTTAACAAAACCAAACCCAGGATCAAGGCCGAGTGACGGTTCCAACGGTTCAACTGGCCAAGTCAACAATAGGTTGAAAACATTAATGATAAATAAGAAATGATTTTTATTAATGATGGAAATGGAATGTAAAATTTAAAACCAATTGGAAGTAAAACTATTTTCCTATTATTTCTCGTTAAATCTCATTTCTAAGTTATATTCTCTTATTAAATCCTATATTTAAGATATATTTTTCTCATTATTAAATTTTAGTAAATAAATCCATAATATTATTTTTAATAATATAAAAATAAATATTTTGGAAAATAATTTGAAAACAAAACCACTTTCTTCCCTTTTGGTGGTGGGTAAATAATTCAACCATTTGGGGTCAAATGTTTTAATAAACAATGTCATAATGAAATAATAAAAAGTAAAATATATACAATATATAACACAAAAAAATAAAAAGAATTGGACATGTCACTAATATTGTATATTCATTAGACTGAAAAAAGTAAGTATGAAATGTAAGAAGTATTTTTATAAATGATGAAAATGGAATGCCAAAATTAAAATCAACGTAGAAATGAAATGTTATAGTTAAATGATAAAATTTAAAAAAATAGAAAATACAAAGAATCACAAAAATAAATGTTATACATAAGATATAATGTTATATCTTTATAAAAAAATAAAATATTGGGTACATCTATAATATTATACATTCATTATATTGAACAAAAATAAATATTATACATAAGCTATAATTTTATTAACAATGGAAATGTAATACATAATTTAATGTCAACCTAGAAATCAAACTTTTCTTTTGGGTTACGGATTAGTGGTTAAAGTCAAATGGATTAATCGATGATATGATAGTTAAATAATAAATATTTAAAAAGTAATAAAATAGTACGAGTAATCAAAAGAATATTTAAAAAAGTTATATATTAATTATGTCAATCAAAAATTAAGTGTGATAAATAAATCTTATTTATATAATGTAGACGGAATATATAATTTAAAACTGATTCGAAAGCAAAGCTATTTTCTTATCTAAATGATGGGTCAATGATCCAACTTTTCAAAGAAATTCATGATGTCATAATTGAATAATAAATATTTAAAAAAATATAGAACACAAAAAATAAAAGTACAGAATTATGTCAAAGACATTTCGAAGCATTTCTAATGTTGTAGAATCATTATATTAAATAAAAATTATTTTTATTTAAGACAAATGGAACACAAAATAATAATAATAATTGTAATTTAAAATTTCTACACATGCACATTTAGTGCAAGTATTTAAGTTTATTTTTAGTCATATTGTTTCTTTTATTAATTTTCAATTTATATCTTAACTATGATATATCTAGAATTCAAGTAATTAATATGAAAAAAATTGTCATACGTGCTTTGCACGTGCTTAATTACTAGTACCATAAAATCTATGAAAAGCAAATAGTAGACTTTTGTAAGCATTTCAAAGCAAATCACCTCCTCCCACCGGAATTACCATGGCAAAACTTAGTCTGCAATGGGTTTTGAATGTTTGTTCTTTTATTTACTTCCATGTTCTTACTTTAGGCTGCGTTTGGTTGCAGTGTAATTTTATTTGACTAGTACAAATGCATGGGAGTGTAAATGAAAAAAATGCAAATTTTGGTTTAACTTTGTTTTGGGTTTTACTTTATTCTGTTTCATGTTTTAATTTACATCATTTGTACAAAATAAACTTATATTTAAAAGAAAAATAGGTCAGAATTTATACTCAAATCATTTGCACTGCTATAATTTTGCATCAATGCAAATTTGTTTGCATTGCAGCCAAACACAACCTGAAGAACATGATGTAATTGTGGGTGAGGGAGACAAGTAATGAGTCCGGTATCATAAATTTTGTTGTTTGGGGAGCGCCTTTATATGGATCACTGTGTACCTTGTAAGTTATAACCCCCCTCGGCTCCCTTGTCAATACACTTGCAACCAAGCAACAAGGGAAGTTAAAAAAGCAAAATGTTTCATGCTTTATCCAATGTGAATTAAGCACGATCTCTGGGTCTGATCGTGCTTAATTTATGAATTAGATGAGCAAGCACTGTTTGTTGGATTATGAGGACTGGTCAAGAATCTTCTTCAGAGATTGATGTTTTGGTCTGATGTCAGAACCCAGATTTCCTACTCACTTGTACACTTTACCCTTTGTAAATTGCAGCCACATATCTCACAAATCGAGATGGCAATGTGTGGCTGCAATTCACCGCGGGTAAAGTGTGGTAGAGAATAGTGGGTAAATCTGGTTTGTGTCAGAATCTAGATTTTCTACTCTTTTTTTTTTTCCACACTCTACCCGCCATGAATAGCAGCCACACATCTTATAATTCAAGATCGCAATGTGTGGTTACAATTCCCGATGGGTAGAGTGTGGGTAAAGAGTAATGGGCAGGAAATCCGGTTTTGTTAGAACCTAGATTTTCTACTTACTTTTTCTACCCACACCCTACTCAATATCCATCATGAATTGCATCTAGACATCTCACAATTCAAAATGGCGATATGTGGCTGCAATTCATGGCGGTAGAGAATAGTGGGCTGGAAATCTGGTCTACTGATGTCATGGTTGTTGTTGCTTGGAAATGGATCCCTTACGATGTCCTTTGATCGCATGTAGTTGCTAAGAGATCTCAACTCATTGTCGACACTTGTGGATAGGGGTGGATTCGAGCCAAATCGAGCCGAATACCTGGTTATTCGAACTAGTTTTGTCAAAACAATGTCAGGCTTGAACTCAATTCGACTTGGCTCAAAAGTTCACAAGTTCGAGTTCGATTATGAGCTAAGCTTCCTATAAAAAATAAAGATTATATATATAAAAATATATTTTTTATTTTATATACAAAAAGTTAAGAATTAT